AAGGCAGGATTTGTTGCCCGCCCTCCCTCCCTTTTACTGAGACGATCCCCCGTGGGGCTATCCTCTCTCTTAGGGTGGGCAGCGAGAGTGTTCTCGACTGCATTCGGAAGGGATATCGAACCGTGTTGGTTCGGGGTGGGGCTTGCAACCCGGAGGTGACCCGGGTTTGCTAGCCCCATTCATCCGGATGTTTTACCAAAGCATTTCCCGTAGTAACGGGTTCTACAGACTGGGACGGCACTGGCGATGTGAAAAGAGTGGTGTGTGCAGTAGCCTCTCTGATTCGATTTGCGGATGTATGTGGATTCGTTATCTACATGAAACACATTTGACCACGAACACCGTTACGGTATACCGGTACCCCGCGATTTGTATTCTGTGCAATTGGTGTTTGCAGCAGTTCGCGATTGGTAAAGGCGCAAATGCCCTAGCATGTCAGAGCCCCAGCAGTAGCAGTGGGTGGCGGTGGTGCTAGAAGCAGGAGCGGCAGTGGCAGTAGCAGTCGCAGTAGCAGTAGCAGGAGCAGGAGGCAGGAGGCAGGAGCAGAGCAGTCGTCATAGAGGTAGTAGTCGTGGTCGCAGAGTCGTAGTGGTCGTGGTCGTGGTCGCGGCCGTCTACTACTACTATCATCAACTACTACTACTACTACTGCTGCTGCTACTACTACTACTGCTACTACTACTACTACTGCTGCTGCTGCTGCTACTACTACTACTACTGCTGCTACTACTGCTGCTACTACTACTACTGTGGTAGCAGTAGCAGAAATTGTAGCAGCAGTAGCAGCAGTAGCAGTAGTAGCAGTAGTCGCAGTAGTCGCAGTAGTCGTAGCAGCGGGCAATTGTGAACACGACGATGGTGTATGACGAACATGGAGAGTTCGGGGCACAAGTGCCAGGTGAACGGAGCCATTCTGGTGACCTGGGTGGCTAACGCGGCTGCCAAGCTATCCTACGCCGCCACGAACTGCGCCCTCAACCTCAATGTTGATGCGGTGTGCTCCGTCGGTGTGACCGGCCTGGTCTCCGTGATGGGCGAGCTGGCCGCGACCGCTTCCCTGGCGGCGGCCACATGCACTGGGGTTCCCCCACAGCTGACAACCACCAAGATCAGTGTTCTGGGAGACCAGACCGTGCGCGACGGCCGACGACTGCTGATTGGACAGGGTCCGATTGGAGTCGGTGTGCAGTGCGGGGTGGACGTTGGCATGGTGGTGGCCAACCTCGCCAACATGGGAATCTCCATCAACTCAGCGGTGAACAGTGGCCAATGCGGCCGCGTCAACCTCAACGGGCCCATCAACAAGGTGGCCGGCTTCGGTTTAGTCAGTTTAGCCGTGCACCTACTGCAGCAGCAGAGCGCAACGGCAGGGCAAGAATTTTTGATTCTGCTAGGACTAAATACTTCCAGGAGGCATCATAAGTGCCCGAGCAACATCCAGGTTACCGGCATCTACAGTGCACTTTGCACGGTGGACATTGGCGGCGCCATCGCCTACATGAGCCAGGTCGTGACCTTCATCAACTTGATCGTCGTGCATTGCCAGGACTTCCTGGACGTCAGCGCCCTCTGCGGCGCAAGCATCTCGGGCATCATCACGGCCGCCGCCGCCATGGCCCCCTACGGCGCCGCCGTGCATGCCGCCTGTGCCAAGGGCGGCGTCCTGAAGAACCCCAAGAAGCAGGAGGAGATCAACAAGCTCTACACCGTGCCCACCCCCCGGCGCTTGGAGCAGCTGAACGAGCTGAAGGCTGCTAGTCTGCTAGTCCTAGCTACTCATAAAAGCTTCTTCGAAGGTTGGAGGTTGTCAGGTTTTTGTAGGTTGTGGCTCGCGTCTCTGGCCCTGCGGCGCCATGCAAGCAGGATGCCATGGCGAACCTCAAGGGCCTTCGCCAGGGGTTGGAGGCCAAGCTCGGCTTCAATGCCTCGGTGCCGACCCTGTACTCAGAGGCCAACTTGGAGCAGATGGTCCAGCTCATGGACGACGGGGTGGCCGGCGATGGGGAGACCTCCTCCATGCAGGAGGAATGCGAAGAGTAAGCGAATGAGAGCAACTTAGCTTCGTCAGCTTCGACCAGCTGGATGTTGGCAATGGCTGCATTCAGCACACGGCTTGAGCATCTGGGGCTCGAGAGATATCAGTCGATGATTGTATCTCAAGTCCAGATGTTGCTTAGCCGGAAGACGATGACACCATCATGTGTGCGTGTGTGTGCCCTTTCTAATATAGGCATACTATGGGCAATACGCATGTGCTTATCTTTCGCGGCATCTGCCTGTGTGTGTATATATGTTGATACATACACATGCATGACTGCATTGTACTCATTGCTCGGTGAGTTCGGAACATACATGCCTGTCTGTATATACAGATTACATATACGCAAAAATGTGCACATATGTATGTATATAGTATTCACACATGCAAAGACATTTACATATGTATATACAATATATATATATATATATATATATATATATATATAATGTTATATTGCTTGTATAATACATATATAAATAAATAAATTAATGAATATATATATATATATATATATATGTATATATATATATATATAGATAGGCATGTATGTATGTATGCCCATGCATGTCTCTACTTTGTAGGTATATGTCTATATGTATATGTATAGGCACATGTATGTGCGTATGTATATGTGTATGTACATGTGTATGTGGATGTATACAATTGTATGCACACATATGACACACACACACACACTGTGTCTGCGTCATGGCTTAAGGACTGGTTTGAGCATATGTGTAGTATGTGTCCTATAAGTGCATATACCTCGATGGTCTCGCCCCCACGATCCACGTCAAATTCCTTCCCGATTGTTCCTCCAAAGTATCTTGTCTTTGTATTCCTCCTGTAGGTATGTGCAAACCCAACAGAATCCCTAAAACGATTCTGATTTTACTTACCTGGGTCTACCTATCAGATCTCACGAGCGCGAAGAAATTTGAAAGCCTGTATCAATCAAAAGAAGCCTTTTCCTCTTGATAAGAAATTGACACGAGAATTTTTCTCTTGTTGAGAGTTCTGATCTCTATATACTTTGGAACAAGGTCAACTCCATCGTATCTGAAATACAGGTGTTCATATTGCAAATCATGTCGAGTTCTTTGGCTTCTTTACATGTCTCACATTCTACACAGCTCTTCTACTATGAATAACTAAGAAGCTGCTGTTGCAAGAAGAAGCGTTATGAGTCTGTTTTCTTGCCGGCTAGCACCGGCTAGCAGCAAGAACTACAGGCCCTCTACTTCCACTCAACTACAACGTTTCTTTCTCCACGCAAGAAGCGGGGAAACAACTCTGCAAGTCTGTAAACTTTGGAGAGAGCAGGGGCGACTTCGGTAGATTTTGCTGTATGGGTGGACTCCATTTCAGTTTTCCGGCATTGCGAATATCATCGTTGCCACAGCGTGAGTCTAACACCATGAGTGATGCTTTGCACCTTGAGCATGTTACGTTTCATGCCACGAAGCTTTCCAGTATCGTTATGATTTGTCGTTTGGCCATCATTTTGCATAATGGCTTTCATGTGGTCACGGCGGCTGAACTCCGTAAGCCTTTTGGTCCTTCCAACCTCACATAGGTTAGCAATGTGCTGCTCCTGGCTTCTAGATCACGAAAGTCATTCCTGCCACAAGCAATGCAGTGGAGGCGAGCCAGGGAGCCAAGGAGAAGTGGGACCATGGACACTGTATGAGAGCATAGGCTTGGGCAAAAATGGAAGAATATGTGTTCGTGTACGTATGTATGTACGTACGTATGTAGCAGGGCGTAAGTTATGTATTTTCACATTATTTTCCGCCTGTATGCATATCCGCCTGCGTGCCTGCATGCATGCGTATATGTATGAATACACGTATATATGTACGTATGCATGTGTACACATATGGTAAGCAAGAGAAGAATGCATACATAGGGAACCACATAGAAAGGTGGATTAATAGCTTGATTGATAGATTGAGCGGTTGACAGATACAGATATGGATATAGTATGTTATGGATACATGCACTGGTTTCATGCCTGCGAACAAACACATAGATGTCATCGTCAGTTCGGAAGTTTAACATGTGCTTCCCTTGTCATGCTCATCCCCTGTCCTTATCGTGTTGAAGGCTGCGCATGCGTGTGCTTGTTCCGTCAGAGTGTTTGGGCCGCGAAGACGGGGGGATGGGCTGCTTTGCATAGCCGTCATGGCATGAGTAGCGGGCCGGACGTGGAATCATATCGTGAGGATAAGTTGAATTGGACCGGTGGCGGGCTCAATGTGGAACCGCCTAAAGGTCCGAATTAAGCACTGCTGCGACCGCAGCAGGGGCTAGGCCGACTGATATTTAAAGCAGTTGTCACAACCTCTGAATCCTCAAACCTGTCTCTTGCATCCACAGGCCTCTGCCAGAAAAAGATGTGTTCTCAGTGCCACGCGCAACACTCGAAGTTGAAAGTTTAATTCCAACTGCCCTAAGATCGATCGGTAGCTCTTCGTCCCCAAACCGATGCCCTTGGACACGAAGGTGCAAAGGCCATGTCCTCCAAGCACACACCCCGGACCAAGCCCGAGTGCACTGCTTGCAGTCAGAGCCAGTGAACTCTCCACCTGTGTTTGGGCTTGCAGCGTCAACGTCCCGAGCTGCACAGCTGTGTCTCAGCAGCATTGCCCGTGCTCTCAAGTCTAGACTGGAGACCTGGAGGCTCAACATAAGGCCTAGGCTGCTTCAGTTGGGGCAGCTTCAAGGTGTGGTACGAGGGGTGGCCCCCGTTTAGTCAGGATGAATTGAACTCAACTTCGGGCATGGTGCACTGCGGTCGCTTGAAAGATAGAACCCAGTGTTCAGACGCCACGTGCCTCATTGCGTAAGCTCCTGGCTCTGCTCAACTCGAACCAACTGGAAGACTTGTACCTGAAGAGACAGTTGGCGGAGTCGAGGCATTCCGTCCCGGTGCACCAGCTTGGATTTTGCTGCAGTCATGCCCACGCCTCCTGCGCAAACTGCCACTTTCGAGGCGGGCTTTGGGTTTCTTGGTCACGGAAGGTTTGGCTTCGGAGGCTGTGCGGGACAGCTTTAGGGTTTAGCTAAAGGACATGGGGCCAGGCAGTGCCTTGACGTCGGCTGCACGAAGGAGAATTCGATTGAGTGCACCTGTTTGCAGCTGCCGCAACATGTAAGACTGACGGTCGGTCTTCACTCGCAGCTGCAAATTGTCGGTTTTTCCCTTCTGCTTCTCGGCGGTATTTCTGCACTCCTGGCTTAAGCACGGTCAGTCTCGCCCATCGCAGGCCCCAATCCGAACTTAACTGCAGCGTAGCCTTGCCAGCGGCAGGCCGTCCATGTAGAGTCCGAGGAAGAGGTGAAGGACTCTTCCACGCAGTCCCGCGGTTGGGTGAAGAAGGCCACGTTGCTCTCAAAACATGCGCAAGTGCAGCCTACAGAGTCTTGCGCTGAAGCAGAACCCAGCAGATGACGACTACCCTGGCTGCAGGCTGCCTTGGCTCTGGCGTTGGGTCTTGGTGTCGTGGGCTTCATGGCCATGCCAAAAGCAACGATCCTAGCCTAGATCAGGGAAATGCCAGGACCTGACTCTCTTGCCGCAGCATGGTTTTCACACGTCTGTCAACTTTTCCGTGTTCTATCCCCACGACTTATCCCCACGTGAAGCACTGTCAGCACTGTCAACACTGGCAAAAGCTCCCCAACAGAAAGAAGGCGGCCTCTCCAACAGGCTACCCCACCATCACCTATGCCACCAATTTGAGCGAAGTCCTCTACAGCCCCCTCCGCTCCCCGCCGAGGAGGTTCTGCAATGGATTGGATCTCGGCGCCTTTCAGGGCAAGTCCAACCTTGGCTTGGACGCACAGATGGCTCTGAAGGCTCGACCCTTGCGCTTGCTTTCGAGGGCCGTATTGAAGGGCTCTTGGCTTCATGAAGCCCAAAACGAAGCAGGAAGGGCTGCCCGTCTTCGCTTGGAGGCCGATGCGCTGAAGGGTGTCAAGAAGCCCTCGGCGGCCGAGAAGATTGTCCTCAAGGTCTGCAAGTCGGGCTTCTGAGGGTTCTGAGCATCACCGGTGAGGTCGAGAGGCCGAAGAAGCAATGGCGGTGGCCAGTCATGATCAACCGTGCACTCTGCACTCCATCCGGTTTTCGTTTGCATGGTTTGCAGACGACGGGGTAGAGGCTTTGGAAGCTTCGGTGCTGACCGCCCAAACTGCTCAAAGTTTCTCCGAGCTTTCCCGCACGCTTGACTCTAATCTACTGTCCTCTGTGGAACGAGTGGTGGGCATGCCAAGCAGTTTTCGGTCTCTGCATGTCTCTGCTGTCAGGCCATGAAGAGCACTGGCCGCAAGTATTCCAAGCACTTCCAGCAGCGCGAGGCGTTGCTGCCGGCTGGTGCGCAGATGGTTTACAGTAATGAGCATCACGTAGAGCTGGAGCCCCGTCGTCCAGCGCAACACATGCGCGCCGGGAGGTTCGCGCTCTGCCGGCGGATCCTGCCGATGCCGCCAGAGAGATGCTGACCAAGGACTCCGACTGCGTACAGTAGCTTGCGGCGCCAGCTGTCATTACTCCTGGAACGGCCGCAATCCATGCGGCAGGAGGCTGCACAGCCCTTAAGCAATTGCCCGACTTTCACCTTGTCAGAGAGCGCTGGGGACAGGACGAGATCGTCGCGTACAAGGCGACGAGGTGGCTGAGCTGCACCAAGCGTCTAGAACCTGTGCGTCGTGCCTGAACGCCGCACGCCTCCGGTAGATGTGTAAACAGGCTTCGGGTCAGATAGAGGTGCACTGGGACCAAGTGCACTTGGAGTCGGAGAGAGAGTCCGGGGCAGTCTTCCCGCTGCTGAGTTGACACATCCCAGGAGGGAGCAGCGCATGCGAAAGGCGGGGGGCGGGGGGGTAGCTGTCCCTCGGGTTTCTCCTGGTCGGGGCTCTGGAAGCGGGAGAGCACTGACGTGCCTTGTCTGTGAAAGCTTTTTCAAGCTCCCCCACACCGTCCCAGCAGCTCGCCATTGCAGCATGAAGCTTTCGAGTGGCTTGCGGTCGTTGGTATTTTGTGGGAGGCCACCAACGTCTACTGCGCCTTCAACGTGCTGGAGGCGGACCTCTTGCAGCACACTGACAGACACGGACTCTGCAAGAGCGGCAGTCTGATTCCTTTGGGACTCTGGAAGTCATCTCGGAGTAGGAGAGGCTCCTTTGAGGCTTGAGGCTCACCCGGAGGGCTCTCCAGTTCGGGGAGAGAAGCTCCCAACTCCCAAGGCACCTAAACGATTTCGGGGAGGCCGCAGGGCGGACAGGAAGGAGGGCACAGATGTAGTAGGTCACATGACTTTGAAATCGTAGCTTCAGAAAGAGCGGTTTTGTTGCTTCAGGCACAGCAACGGGTGGCAAGCCCCCATCCCAACTCACCTCCATTCACTACCTCCACAGGGAGGAGGATGGAAGATGGGAAGAATGCAGGTAGCGAGCCAACCGCCAGGGGTAAGCGGAGCTTCCAAGGAGGGCCAGACAAATGCTTCTGAGATGACCCAAGTCTAGGATTTTGCTTACTGTGTTCTCTGCGGCGCTTGCCTGATGCACCTGGAAGGCCTTCGTGTCCGTGGTCGGCATGGGTAGGGGCCCTCGGCGCGCTTCTCCGGTCTTCGTCGAAAGCTCGGCCCGTGCACTGAGGCGACGACATCAACGCGATCATCAGGAGCTCTTTCTTGCACATCGGAGTCTGGTCTTTCAGGGAACATCTTAAGACATAGACATGGCATGTGGCCTTAACGGCCACTAGACCTTTCTCCGCCTCAGCTGATGTGCTAGCATGGACAAGCAGTTACAGCGCAAGCGCTAGACTCAGGGAGTAGCCGGACATGGCATGCTCGTAGAGGTTTGGGGGTGCAGAAGTTGCCAAGTCTCTTTTGCGCGATTGCCGAGAGGACCTGTCCTGCTCCTCGTGACGGCGAGTCGGAGCTTGCCTGCCAGGCGTGGAGCGGGGTTCGTAGGACGAGGAGTGGGTTCGTAGGATCTACATTACTCACATCTGACCACCGCGCTATGACGAGCACCTGTCCGCCGCGGTTCGGAGACTTGTACCACCACTTCTAGCGCTGTAGTTGCATTTTTAACATGCCCACTTTTGCTTTGCAACAGCGTTTGAAGCAATGCTTGTAGTGTTGGTTATGCAGTGTTAGGACTGCAAGGCAGTAGTGCGACAGTGGCGGTAAACTAGCCGTTCCGAGTGCGAGCACGAGCAGTTGTGGTGGCGATGCTGCTAGGAGTGGTGGTGGTTGTGCTCGTGGTGATGGTGACGGTGGTGGTAGGACTAGTTGTGGTAGTAGAGACCGAGTAGGATTATTATTAGTAGTAGTAGTAGCAGCAGGAGTACTAGTAGTAGCGGTAGTAGTAGTAGTAGTAGTCGTCGTGGTGTTGGTGGTAGTGGTAGTGGTAGTGGCAGTGGCAGTGGCAGTGGCAGTGGTCGTGGTCGTGGTCGTGGTCGTGATCGTGGTGTTGGTAGTGGTAGTGGTAGTGGTAGTGGTAGTGGTAGTGGTAGTCGTAGTCGTAGTCGTAGTCGTAGTAGTAGTAGTAGTAGTAGTAGTAGTCGTAGTCGTAGTGGTAGTGGTAGTGGTAGTGGTAGTGGTAGTGGTAGTAGTAGTAGTAGTAGTAGTTGTAGTAGTAGTAGTAGTAGCAGTAGTAGTAGTAGTAGTAGTAGTAGTAGTAGTAGTAGTAGCAGTAGCAGTAGCAGTAGCAGCGGCAGCGGCAGCGGCAACGGCAGCGGCAGCTGCAGTGGTAGCGGTTTCGGTAACGGTAGCGGTAGCAGTATGAGTAGCCGTTGCGGTAGCCGGTAGTATAGTAGCGGTAGCAGCCGCAGTAGCAGTAGCAGTATGTAGCAGTATGTAGCAGCAGTATGCAGCAGTAGAATTATGAAAATCTGGTTCTGCTAACACTGGGTTGGGGCGCAGAAGCCTAATAATCCCTTTAGAATCCGTTTTGGATGCATGGGGGAATGCGTTTGGTAATCCGTTTGGAATGCATGCGTTTTCGCAGGTCCGTTTTGGATGCGTTTTGGATCCGTTTTGGATGCGTTTTGGATCCGTTTTGGATCCGTTTGGGGCCCCAGCCCCGGAACACCAAAACGGATTTGCAACGGGCCCCAAACGGACCCCCTGACGGGTCCGCAGGCGGGTCCCCCAGATGGGTCCCCGGCGGGTCACCGAAACCACGAATCCCTCGAGAGGGATCCGTTTTTAATCCGTTTTGGATCCGCTTTAAATCCGTTTTGGATCCGTTTTGGATGCGTTTTGGATCCGTTTTGGATGCGTTTTGGATCTATTTTGGATCCGTTTTGGGGTCCCGGGGCTGGGGTCCCCAAACGGATCCAAAACGCATCCAAAACGGTTCCAAAATGAATAAAAACGGATCCTTCTCGAGGGATTCGTGGTTTCGGCGACCCGCCGACAAACCCGTCTGGGGGATCCGCCTGCGGACCCGTCAGGGGGTCCGTCTGGGGCCCGCTGCAAATCCGTTTTGGTGTTCCGGGGCTGGGGCCCCAAACGGATCCAAAACGGACCCAAAACGGATCCAAAACGCATCCAAAACGGATCCAAAACGGATTAAAAACGGATCCAAAACGGATTAAAAACGGATCCCTCTCGAGGGATTCGTGGTTTCGGCGGCCCGCCGGGGACCCATCTGGGGGACCCGCCTGCGGACCCGTCAGGGGTTCCGTCTGGGGCCCGTTGCAAATCCGTTTTGGTGTTCCGGGGCTGGGGCCCCAAACGCAACCCCACACGGATCCAAAACGGATCCAAAACGGATCCGAAACGGATCCAAAACGGATCCCCAAACGGATCCCAAACGGATCTGAAACGCATATTTAGGAAATACAGCATTTCCAGAGTTAACAGGCAACAGATTTTCTTAACAGTAGAATGTAGCAGTAGCAGTAGTAGCATGTAGTAGTAGCAGTAGCAGCAGTGGTGGCAGTAGTGGGTAGCAGTGGTATAGTATCAGTCGTAGCAGTCGTCGCAGTAGTTGCAGTAGTCGTAGCAGCAGGCACTTGTGAATACGCACAAATGCCAGGTGAACGGAGCCATTCTGGTGACCTGGGTGGCTAACGCGGCTGCCAAGCTATCCTACGCCGCCACGAACTGCGCCCTCAACCTCAATGTTGATGCGGTGTGCTCCGTCGGCGTGACCGGCCTGGTCTCCGTGATGGGCGAGCTGGCCGCGACCGCTTCCCTGGCGGCGGCCACATGCACTGGGGTTCCCCCACAGCTGACAACCACCAAGATCAGCGTTCTGGGAGACCAGACCGTGCGCGACGGCCGACGACTGCTCATTGGACAGGGTCCGATTGGAGTCGGCGTGCAGTGCGGGGTGGACGTTGGCATGGTGGTGGCCAACCTCGCCAACATGGGAATCTCCATCAACTCAGCGGTGAACAGTGGCCAATGCGGCCGCGTCAACCTCAACGGGCCCATCAACAAGGTGGCCGGCTTCGGTTTAGTCAGTTTAGCCGTGCACCTACTGCAGCAGCAGAGCGCAACGGCAGGGCAAGAATTTTTGATTCTGCTAGGACTAAATACTTCCAGGAGGCATCATAAGTGCCCGAGCAACATCCAGGTTACCGGCATCTACAGTGCACTTTGCACGGTGGACATTGGCGGCGCCATCGCCTACATGAGCCAGGTCGTGACCTTCATCAACTTGATCGTCGTGCATTGCCAGGACTTCCTGGACGTCAGCGCCCTCTGCGGCGCAAGCATCTCGGGCATCATCACGGCCGCCGCCGCCATGGCCCCCTACGGCGCCGCCGTGCATGCCGCCTGTGCCAAGGGCGGCGTCCTGAAGAACCCCAAGAAGCAGGAGGAGATCAACAAGCTCTACACCGTGCCCACCCCCCGGCGCTTGGAGCAGCTGAACGAGCTGAAGGCTGCTAGTCTGCTAGTCCTAGCTACTCATAAAAGCTTCTTCGAAGGTTGGAGGTTGTCAGGTTTTTGTAGGTTGTGGCTCGCGTCTCTGGCCCTGCGGCGCCATGCAAGCAGGATGCCATGGCGAACCTCAAGGGCCTTCGCCAGGGGTTGGAGGCCAAGCTCGGCTTCAATGCCTCGGTGCCGACCCTGTACTCAGAGGCCAACTTGGAGCAGATGGTCCAGCTCATGGACGACGGGGTGGCCGGCGATGGGGAGACCTCCTCCATGCAGGAGAAATGCGAAGAGTAAGCGAATGAGAGCAACTTAGCTCTGACCTCTGGGCGTTGGCAATGTCTGCGTTCAGTTCGCAATTACGCTGCGGGATCTGTGATTCGAGAGAGCAGTCGAGAGTTGTATCTTGGGTCCAGACTTCTGTAGCTGAATGACGATGAGTCGCACCAGGTGCGTTGTGCACATGGAAGACATCCTCACCTGTCTAGGCAGTATAGATACTCGAGGCAAGGTAGATCTCATCGTCAAGGTGGAGCTTGCATCATACAGTTTCGAACGTTTTTGGACAGTGGTCTGCGCATTTCGGCATCATGCTGGGCGTGTGCGTATCTCTGAAGCTCTT